GTAAAACACTCAAGTTAGGAAGGAAAAAGTAAAACTATCTATTCACAAATATGATTGTCTGGAAGAATCTGTTTATAATTGCTATTATTTCTTCCTTAATTATCAGGTAGAAGTGACAGTAAAATCTTCTTGGCCTAGAGTTTTGTGAGAATGTTAATAACATTTCCACAATGTTTGAGAAGGCTTTAATATTTCTTGCCTTTTAAGGAATTTGTCCATTAAGTTATTGAATTTATTGCCATAAAGGTGTTCATAATATGCTCTCATTACCCCTCTACTAGCAATAACACCTATAGTAATATTACCTTTCTCATTCCCAATACTGGGACCTTCTTTTATTTTTGCTGATCAATCTGGCATCATTTATCAACAGTATTGATCTTCTCATTGATTTTCTGTTTTCTATTTCATTAATTTCTCCTTTTTTTTCTTTAATTTCCCTTCTTCTTCTTTGGGATTTGCTGAATCTGTGAGAACTGATCTGAGACCTTTTTTCTATTCTAACACAGTTATTGTAGTGTTATAAATTGACCTTTAAATACTTATTTAGATCCATCTCATGAATATTGAAGTGTTTTCATTTTCATTCAGTTCAAAGTACTTTCAAATTTCCCTTTCAATTTATTCTTTGACCAATGAGTTATTGTAAAGTATGCTATCAGTTACCAAATACTTGGGGATTTTCTAGATATATTTCTATGTAAGTTTTCTGTCATTTCTTACTTTCATTATTAGAAAGCATAAATTTGTATGACTTAAATCCCTCTACATGTATTGAGACTTAAGTTTATGGCACAGAATGTGATCTCTCTTGGTAAATGCCTCCATTGTACTTGAAAAAAATACGTATTCTATTGTTGGGTGAAGTGTTCTATAAATGCAAATTCAATCAACTTGGTTGATAGTATTACTCAAGTCTTCTATATTATTTTTCTCCTATGTGTTCTATCAATTATTGAAAGAGTGGTATTAAAACACCTGAATACAATTGTGATTTTTAATATCCTTTCATTTCTATTAATTTTTGCTTCATGTATTTAATAACCATATTATTAATATTAGGTAGATAAATGTTGAGTATTAGGTTCTTTTGATGAATGAATCCTTTTATCATTATGAAATTATTTTATTTCTGGCAATATTCTATTCCCTTATCTAATAATTTAATAATTCCTCCTATCTTAGTGCTATTGTCATATAATTTACTTGTACATATAATAAAACTCATAATACATCATTACTGTTTTTTATTTAACAGCCAATTATTTTTTTAAAGCATGTAATTTTGAAAAGCTTTTCTATTTACCTACCAAACTGCCCTTCGTAGTGTTCTTCATTCCATTCTGTAGACCCAGCTGTCCATCTCCTACCAATTTCCTACTGCATGAAGGACTTCCCTTAACATTTTTTGTTGGTGATAAATTTTTACCTTTTGTTTATCTGACACTGTCTTTATTTTGCCTTTGTTTTTGGAAAAATATTTTTAGTGAATATAGAACTAGATTGGCTAGCGTTTTTTAGTACAGTCATCCCTTAGCATCACACATAGCAAATCCACAGATGCTCAGGTTCCTAATATAAAGTGATGTTGGAGCTGTGGTAGCAAAACTGGTTATAAAGTGGTGTGGTATTTGCACATAACCTATGCACATCCTCCTGTATACTTATAATCATCTCTAAATTTCTTATATCTATTACGATATAAATACTGTGTAATTATAACTGTTATACTATATTGTTTAGGAAATCAAAACAAGGGGAAAAGTCTGTACATGTTCATTACAAACACAACGATCTCTTTTCTATTCACGGTTAGTCGAATCCAGGGATATGGCACCCAGGGATATGGAGGGCCAACTGTATTTTAAAGATGTTCCACTGTCATCTGGTTTGCACTATTTCCTATAAAAAATATGTTTGAGGCCAGGCATGGTGGCTCACACCTGTAATCCTAGCACTCTGGGAGTCAAAGACCCTCAGTCCTACAACCACAAAGAACTAAATTCAGCCAACAGTTTGAATTAGACCGGAAGCAAATTCTCCCCCAGAGCCTCCAATAAAAAATCCAACCCTAAGAACACCTTGAATTCAGCCTGTGAGACCACAAAGAGGGCCTTTGCTTGCCAAAAAGAGAACATCGGTTTAATAAGATTTTACTGAGGGAAATGTTTGAACTGAGAATATGATATCCCATTAATTCCATCCATCAGTGTAAAACAATGCTTCTCCATGCACTCTTTCTAGTACTCTGCCTGGTGAACTCTAGACTATTTGGCCTCTCTGAATCCCCATCTTTTCTCCTCAACCCAGAACACCACTCAGCTCCACCTGGGTTCCCTCTCTCTGCAATGAGTCTGGAAACTCTCCAGGCCACACCTCGTCTCCCATCTGTTGAGGATTACTGTCCTTGATGACCTATAGCTTCTTGAAAACCACGTTGTTTCAGGTGGTAGGGTAATCCAGTCCTTCTTACTCCATATCAGCCAGACTATATTTAGTTTTTGAAGTGTTTCTCTACCAACACTTGAATATTGGTCTCCCTCATATTTCCTACTCCATGTCTGAGCCATAGTTCTTGATAAAACAATACAGGGAAGGCTCTAGGCATAAAACATCACAGCAGAGAGTGAGAGAGTGCTTATTCTTTACTACCTACCTATCCTAATGGATTTATCATTTAAAAAATGTTTCTTAACCCCATTACCTACTCTATTTCAAGTTGACCTCCCCCAAATACTCACTGATATCCCTGACCCTTTAAAAGAATTCTTTAAATGCACAACTCAACAACAAAATAAAGTCTCTGTTTATTATAAAAAGAACAAATATCAACTCCTATGTCTTCACTTTTTCTTACTAGATGGAAATATTGTGAAATATCCATTCTCTTTTTTCTCTTGCCCTAAATTCCTAAAATTTAACTGTTCCAATGTGCACTTCTACAATGGGACTCCCAAGGTACTTCACAAATACTATCAAGCTTATTCTTCTCTCTCCTTTTTCCAAACCTTTTCCATTATGTTCTTTGATACATTTAGAAAGTGCAGTCTACTCAAATGATGGTATGCTAGAAATATTTTAAACATAAATATGAAATAACTGCAAAGCCTCACTTGGGTTATGCTGTTCAATACCTGCTTTTAATTCACATTCAGAGAAACATACCTGCTTAGGAAAAAAAAAAGGTCCTAGTTTTATATCTTCTCCAGACAAAGAATTGCTTTAGATTGAAAGGACTTCTCTTTCTGTTTCTGGACTAAAAGATCTTTATTTAAATAAAATATTTAAGTAGCATAAATATAATGTTTATTAAGAACCTGAACTTAAGAATTGTTCAAAATAAACAAAAGTTCACTTTTATTTTAGTGCACCAAGAATTCCATAGAAACATAGAAATTTGGAACAGAAAAGAATCTAAGATCCCCTTCTCTAACTCACTCATGAACTAAACTCTTTTTAAAAAGAGAATCAGCAAATTCCCCACAAATTTCATAACTTACAAATGATAGGCCTGGGATTAGATTCCAGATCTCTTGCTCTTTCTACATTACTACATGATATGTCATACTTAACATTCTGGGTGAAAAAGTCACAATATTTTGAATTTTGTAAATATTATCTTTCAAAAAGAACATATCAGTTTAATAAGATATTAACTAAGGGGAATAATGAATATGATATCCCATTAATTCTATCCATACATGTAAAACAAAAGGTTTAGTTGAGCCTGTGATCAGTTTGTAAGATAGTAAAACAGAACAAAACATTTCTACATCTGTTTTCTCAGTTCTTTATGTGTATATGTATACATTTGAATACTCAAGCCTTCTTAAAACACCAAAACACTTTGAACTACAGAAAGGTTTTTAAAAATCTAATTTCAATAAAACATTGAAGGTACTCTATACACTTAGTGTACTATAATGTACTCTAACAAAATCAAGGTATTCACACTATTTGTGATTTTAAAAACCTCTACAGTCATCGTGACAAATGTCTGGGTGAGTGGCACGTTATGTCTGACAAGCCTGGGTTTGCATTAATACCTATCAGCTATCTATGGCATTGAAAGGGGGCTGCAACTCTGTCACTCAGTTTCCTCATATATATACAATAGGCTACAACTCAGAGGGCTCTGATGAAGAACAGAAAAGATAACACCTAAAATGTTAAAAAAATGTCAGTGCCTCTTCCCTGCTCTGTCTTAAAATGAAAAAATGGTACAAAAAACTGAAAAATTTTGATGTACACCAGCATTTAGACTACATAAAGACAAGAAAATGATGTGAGTTATGGCTAAAATTAGCTCTTAAACATTTCCTTAAAGAATTATTCTGGTTAATTTCACCAAAAGAAAAAGCTTTTACAACAAAAACTTGCATACATATATGACTTTAAAATTACATAAAAATGACAGTGACAAAAAAGTAGGCATAAAAAATAAATTGGAAATAAATATGCCAGTTTACTAACAATATGAATGTAGCAAAATTATGGATGATTTTTCTTTCCCTACTTTTCTGTATAAGGAGCACATAAAGTCCTCTAAAAACATGAGGCATATATTTAAGCACCTTTATGAAACTCAAAATTCTCCATATCCCCATATCACATAACTTCCTCTATAAAATGCATTAAAAGGGCAGAAAACAACAAAGCTGAATGCAGATGGGAATGCTGGGCTGGGTTCACACAGCTGCCGGGCTCACTTCATGCACCAGCCTCACCGAGTGCACAAGTCAAATTCTATCCTCACAAACATTACAAATTACCACATGTCAAGGAGCCTCAAAGATTGCTCTCAAACTGTTATAACATAAATATAAATCCTTAAATGTTAAGGGTCCACTATACTTTTATATTTAGAAGGAAAAAAGAACTATCATTTGTAGCACAAAAGGAAGCTTGTCTTGTTGTTGCTGATCTATAAGTGTATATGCTTCCAGAATTTATCTTTCTATCATTTACATCTCTTTCATACAGTGAAAAGTACAAATTCACATTCTTCTCTAGAAGTCAAAAGTTAAAAAAATAAAACTTTGCCTTAGGTGAAAGCCCACAAATAAAAAAGAAGTATCTACTCTGACTAACCAATACACTTACAAAACTAAGATAGTTATCAAAAGCTAATTAAAGTAATCTTTATCAACAGATCATAACAAGCAGCAATGTCTACTGGACAACTAAGAAAATGATTCAGAATCCTGAATCCAGAAAGTTTCTGAAGGCCAACTACTTTAGTTTGTCATGAAATTAGATGCCTTTTTAAATATATTGATTGACCAGCTTTTTTCAATCCAATTAAATAACAAAAAATTAACTTTATCAACCAGAATAAATGTGAAAGTTTCAGACTTAGCTTATGCTAATCTAATTATAAATTTTGCAACATATAAGTTACTATGAGAAGAACATCTAATGTATAGATATAATAATGTATCTGTTATACATTGCTAAGTAGTAATTATATTCTCAGCAACTTTGCAAAGCTTAATAAGTTTCTAGCATTTTACAAACATACATACATAAATATCCCTTAAGTATATTCTATAATTTTAATAAATCACTCTTAAATTAAAAATTACTGTTGGGGTCAATACACATATTTATATTATTTCATATTAACTTGTAAAATAAATATTAGTCAAATTGCTCTACTTCAGAAAGCTAAAATTACATGCTTTCATATAGCTGTAGAACCCTAAAAATTCAAAAACATTGTAGTTTGTCTAAATCAGTATCAATGGCAACCTATTTGAAAGATATCCAATGCCCATTCCCAAAAAAGGTATTTCCATTTAAAGGTTATTTAATAATCCCAGAACACTCAGTTTAAAACAAAACAAAACAAGACCGAATTGCCAGATCACCACAGGATGCATTAACTTCTAGCTCCACCTGCTGGAGTCACAAAATATTTTAAAAATCCAATATGCAATACTATGCAGCAAATAATTTATCATTTGTCCTCAAACAGACCAAAAAAAAAAAAACTTCATGAATTTAAGTTAGAAAATTAATCAAATTTCAACCATATTCAATTGTTTCCAAAATGACAAAACTAAGTTAAAAACAATACTTTAGTAGAATTGAAGATCTAATCCAATTGTCAAAGTGACTACACAATATTTTAAAATTCTACTAAAAAAGCATAAGCGTTAGAGAAGACTACAAGTGTGCTTTCAAACAGTGTGAAAACTTCAGAATTAGAATAGCCTCTGCTTATTTACTTAGAAGAAAACAATTTTAGCAATGAGTTGTGAAAACTTTTACCTTAATATAACTTTGTCTTATAATAAAAAAGCAATATATGTCCATTGTATAAATTTTATACAATGTAAATACCAAAAAAATTATATCATATAATCCTACTACCTTGAGAAAAACAGCTATATCCTTTGTAATTACCCTTCAAGATATTTTTCTGTGTACCTATATATACACGTACTTTATTTTCTTTTTACAAAAGAGGCTATGTAAATATGCTTGTTTCCAATATCTTTATATATCAACAAATGCTCCTCTACATCATTGTCTAAAAAGCATTCTACTGCCTGAGTGGGGCCCGGCCCGTGAGCCGAGGGACACTCTAGGCTGCTGGTGAGGTTCGTCAGCGCCAGGGTTGGGCTGAGGGGCCGCAGTACCATGAGGCACCAGTATTTAAGAGATTATGGCATCTGAAACCCACAATGTTAACAAACAGAACTTTTGTGATGATATTGAGGATCATTCCACTGATTTTCCTAGAAAAAGGATCTCTAATTTCACTAATAAGAACATAAAGAGGTTAAGAAATCTCCAAAATAGTTGGCTGCTTACTAAATAGAACAGTTGGACAAGCTGTGAAAAGCCCAGATAAACTGCATAAGGTGATCTATCACAGAAAGAAGGTTCATGATCCCTTTCCAAATCCTTGTTACAGAAAAAAACAGTCCCCTCGAAGTGGGAGCCGTGACATGGCAAATAAAGAAAATGAACTGGCTTGTGCAGGCCACTTGCCTGAAAAATTACGCCATGATAGTGGAACATACTTGATTAACTCCAGTGATTCTAGTTCTTCATAAACAGAAAGCCCATCATCAAAATATATTGGGGTTTTTTTCTGAGGTTTCTCAGGACCATGAAACAATGACTCAAGTTTTGTTCAGTAGGAATTTGAGATTGAATGTAGCTTTAATTTAAAGCTACATTTATTTAATTTTAAAAGTTTTACTTTCTGGAGAAAGCTAAGTATAAGTGAACTTGTAGCTTATTTGGTGAGGATAGAAGATCTTGGAGTTGTGGTAGATTGCCTTCCTGTGCTCACTAATAGTTTACAGGAAGAAAAACAATATATCTCACTTGGCTGCTGTGTAGACTTGTTGCCTCTAGTAAAGTCACTACTTAAAAGCAAATTTGAAGAGTATGTAATAGTTGGTTTTAACTGGCTTCAAGCAGTCATAAAAAGGTGGTGGTCAGAACTATCATCCAAAACAGAAATTATAAATGATTGAAATATTCAGATATTAAAACAACAATTAAGTGGATTATGGGAACAGGAAAACCATCTTACTTTGGTTCCAGGATATACTGGTAATATAGCTAAGGATATAGATGCTTATTTATTACAGTTGCACTGAGAGATTTCATCTACTAAAGACCACTTGGTTGTTCAAAACATCCCTGGATTATGATTTACAAAAAAAAAGGTCTCCTCTGAGAACTGTGAACTGTGGAAGAAATCAAAACCATTTTTCCTTTTAAAAAGCCACGCATTGAAACAACTAATAAAACCCTAACAATCTACTACTTCACATTGAAGTGGAAAAATATCCAAAAGGAGCAGCTTCAACTTCAATGAGGTGAAAGTACACTATGAAGATTGTTCACCTATGCTGCATTTGGGATTTATATGGTTATTCAGTAACACTGTTTAAGAGCTACTGGATCTTAATGCAATCCTGCACAAGAATATAATTTATACTATGTAAAAAAATAAGACAGGACTTACTACTAGGAACAGCAAAGACCAATCATCATTCACTTTTTTTAAGATTGTGTTTCATAAAAAAGCACATAAATGTGTGCAGCTAATTTTCTTATGTTGAAAAGACTAAAAGTTAAAAACATCATAGCAGAAAACAATATTAAAAATTTTTGTCCACACTGACATACTGTGTATGCAAAATGCCTTAATTATTAATAAGCCAATGTGTTATGATACTAATATCTGTTTAAAAAATTAAAACTAACCATGCTTCTGGCATAATAAAATCATGGAATTAAACCGGGGGCTTACATTCATGTAGAATGTTGTTGAAACACATTCCACACCATTTTTAAAACTTGAGAACAGGCAGAGTGCGGTGGCTCACGCCTGTAATCCTAGCACTCTGAGAGGCCAAGGCAAGCGGATTGACGAGGTAGGGGTTCGAAACCAGCCTGACCGAGAGCGAGACCCCATCTCTACTATAAATAGAAAGAAATTAATTGGCCAAATAATATATATGTAGAAGAAATTAGCTGGGCATGGTGGCGCATGCCTGTAGTCCCAGCTGCTCGGGAGGCTGAGGCAGCAGGATTGCTTAAGCCCAGGAGATTGAGGTTGCTGTGAGCTAGGCTGACGCCACGGCACTCACTCTAGCCTGGACAACAAAATGAGACTGTCCCCCCCCCCCAAAAAAAAAAACTTGAGAATATTTTTAGAATCTCAGATTTTTTTTTCAGAATCATCATGTCACATGTATATGTTATCTCTATCTTAAAAAAAAAGGTGAACATGTATGAATGTTTAACTGGATATGTCCATGGACTTGGCTAATTTATATTCACTTTTTATTATATATAGATTTCTAATATTTTTCATTTCTGTATCATTTAAACTTTTCATTTGAGTAAATTCACCAAATATTTCTAAAAAAATAAAAAGCACTCTACTGTTTGGATTTGCCACAATATAATTAAGTTAATTTCCTACTCCAAACAATTAGATTTTTTTTTTTTGAGACAGAGTCTCACTTTTTTGCCTAGGCTAGAGTGAGTGCCATGGTGTCAGCCTAGCTCACAGCAACCTCAAACTCCTGGGCTCAAGCAATCCTCCTGCCTCAGCCTCCCGAGTAGGGACTATAGGCATGCGCCACCATGCCCGGCTAATTTTTTCTATATATATTAGTTGGCCAATTAATTTCTTTCTATTTATAGTAGAGACGGGGTCTCGCTCTTGCTCAGGCTGGTTTCAAACTCCTGACCTCGAGCGATCCGCCCACCTGGGGCTCCCAGAGTGCTAGGATTACAGGCGTGAGCCACCACGCCTGGCCAAAATTAGTCATTTTAAAGTGAACAATTCAGTGGCATTTAATGTATTTGCAATGTTTTGCAATCACTATCTTTATCTAGTTCCAAAACATTTTCATCGTCCCAAAAGGAAAGCCCAGTAAGCAGTTGTATCATTGCTTTTCAATTTATGGAACTAAAGGGTTTCATATTTTTCTACTAATTTTTTAACAGTATACAAGATACATAAAATGTATACAAATGGATACTTTATTTTTTCTATTTTTTGTCCTTTTCCCTAACTTAATTATAACAATATAAATTTTCACTACCATTTTCATGTGTCATCTCTACCCTCTTTGTTCCATCCTATCATAAACTATAGTTGCTGGCATGTCATGACCCAGCTCACAATGGGTGAATGATGGGACACACCACACAGCACCAGGCTGACGAGTGATGGTGACCCAGCAGAAGCTCAATGACCAGAGCAGCCCCATCAGTTCTGTCTCACTCCAGTGTTCCAATGTCATTTTTATATATCACATTTTTCAAGCTGTTTTCACATTGTAGACAGAGGTACATCCTGTCACATGATATAAACTTTTAGAACTAAGGCTAATATTTTATTTATTTATGTTATAAAATTCTGATGCAGAGAAGTTAAGCAGCATTCCAAGGTAGTATAGTTAAAATGTAACATCTCAAACCTGTGTGTCCCAAAATCCAAACATTTTATTTAAACCAAATTAAATACTTTTACATATATACAAAAGCATTATCAACACATAGTTAGCCTCTAATCTGTATGTGATTTACACATTAAAGGAACAATCCATCAAAAACATCCATATTGACAATTTTATAAACCATTAAATTTCTTTTCAAATTAAATTCATTTTTACCAAAGTGCTCCTAATGTTACAATTAATAACCTTCATTTCTTCAATCAATAAATATTTATTAAACATTTCAGTGTGAAAGTACTAGAACAGATGCTCCATGGGAGATTAAAGAAACTTCAGAAATTCTGAGTCCTCAAAGAATCCCATAAATGTCACAAAACAGTAAATGACTGGTTGACAAATGAATATGGATAACATAACTGTGCTTTGGGGAAAAGAAAATAATCAGACCTTTTGAGAACTGCTGGACACTGGCTATGAACTGACACTGATTCCAGGTATCCTCACTGTGGCCACCAGTAGGAGTAGGGACTTGTGGAGGTCAGGTGATCAACTGAGTTTTAGCTCAGGTTCCACTCATAGTGAGTCCCCACACCCATCCTGTGGTCATTTGCCCGGGTCCAGAACACATAATTAAAATGGACACACTCAGCAGCTGGGAGAATCCCCACAATGACCTGTGGAGCGAGGGCTGTTACGGTGTGAAAGGCCACAGAGATGTCATAGTCCCTCCAGGAATGGGTATTGTTTTTGGTTGACTATTTTCCTAGGTGGACCTGGGCAAGTCCAGACGTGGGATTGGTGCCTACTATCATGAACTTGGAAGATGCAGGGGAGGTGATTCCCACCACATCCCCATTCGACTTTCTGATTTGGCCTGTGCAGAAGGCATATGGATGTTGGAGAAAGAGGATTATCGTTAAACTTAATCAGGTGGCGACTCCAACTGCAGCTTCTGTACCAGATGTGGTTTCATTGCTTTATCAAATTAACACATCCCCTGGTAACTGGTATAGTTACTGGCACTTTTTCTCTGTATCTATCAGTAAAGACCACCAAGAGCAGTTGACTTTCAGCTGGCCAGCAATATACCTTCACTGTCCTATGTCAGGCAGGCATCAACTCTCCAGCCCAGTGGCATAATTTAGTTTGCAAGGACCTTGATCACCTTTCCCTTCCATAAGACATCACACTGGTTCATTACCTTGATGACATTCAGCTGACTGGACATAGTGAGTGAGAAGTAGCAACTACTCTAAACTTACTGGTAAGACATTTGTGTGTCTGAAAATGAGAAATAAATCCAACAAAAATTCAGGGGCCTTTTATCTCAATAAAATTTCTAGAGGTCCCGTGATGTGGAGCATACCAAGATATCCCTTCTAAAGTAAAGAATTAGTCGTTGAATTCAGCCCCTCCTATACCAAAAAAGAAGTATAATACATAGTAGGTCTCTGGATTTTTGAGGCAACACATTTCCCTTTTTGGTGTGTTACTCCAACCCATTTACTGAGTGACCTGAAAAGCTGCTAGTTTTGGGTGGGGCTCAGAACAAAAGAAGGCTCTACAACAGACCCAGGCTGCTATGCAAGGCGTTCTGCCACTGGGCCACATGATCCAGGAGATCCAATGGTACCTGACATGGCAGTGGCAGACAGGGATGCTATCTGGAGCCTTTAGCAAGTTCCTATAGGTGAACTGCAGCCCAGACCTTAAGATTTTGGAGCAATCCCCTGCTATCCTCTATGGATAACAACTCTCCTTTTGAGAAGAGCTCTTAGCCTGCTACTGGGCTTTAGTAGAGATTAAGTGCTTAACCATGGGCCACCAAGTTACCATGTGACCCAAGCTGCCCACATTAAATGAGTGTTTTCTGGCCCACCAAGCCATAAAGATGGGCGTGCACAGCAGCAATGCATCATCAAATCGAAGTGGTGTATATGATTGGGCCTAAGTTGGCCCTAAGGCACAAGTTACATAAAGAAGTAGCCCAATGCCCATGGCCCCCATTCCCACTATACTGCCTCCTCTCCCCCAGCCTGCACCTAGCATTTCATGGGGTGCATCAGGTAACAGAGGAAGACCTGGGCCTAGTCTACAGATGTTTACAACTTTACATAATATGCAGGCAACACTCATAAGGTGACAGCACTGCAGCCCCTCTCTGGCACATCCTGAAGGGCACAGGTGAACAGAAAGCCTCCTAGTGGGCAGAACTGTGGGCAGTGCATATGGTTGTTTACTTTGCTTAGAACGAGAAATAAGTAAACATGTGATTATACACCAATTAATGGGCTGTGGCCAATGGTTTGGCTGGATGGTTGGGGACTTGGAAGAAATGTAACTGGAAAAATGGTGACAAGGACATTGGGGATAGAGGAAAATGAACAGACTTCTCTGAATGGGAAAAAAAAAGATATCTGTGTCCCATGTGAATGCTCACCAAAGGGTGACCTCAGCAGAGGAGGACTTTTATAATCAGGTGACCAGGATGACCCGTTCTATGAATACCAGCCAGCCTCCTTCCCCAGCCACCCCAACGGGCTCATGAACAAAGCGGCCATGGTGGCAAGGGAGGGTGGACACACATGGGCTGAGCAACCTGGACTTCCACTCACCAAGGCCATCCTGGCTATGGCCACTACTGAGGATCTAATCTGCTAGTTGTGATTACTGTTTTCCACACCAAATATGTGTTTTTTTAAACACATGTGAACACATACATATACATATTTTTATCTGTGTTAGAGCCTTATGTATAATAAGCAACTAAAGAATTAAAAAAATTTTCCATAGCATTGTCATATCCCATATTGCATAAAATATATGCCTTTGTTTATGAAAACCTTTACAAAAATGCATCAACTTTTAAAAACCTAGCAGGACCAAAGTGTTATAACTAGTCTTTAACACAACACAGCACTGGCATAGGAATAGACAGCAAACCAGGGGCTGGAAGTAAAAACCTTTTTCTTGCTTACTCTGGAACAGACAGATTAGGTACTTTAAAATATATACATATTCCATTTAGTCCATATAATATCTCTATGAACTAGACCTTAATGTGTCCATTTTATAGATGAAAGACTGAGACTAAGAAAGCTTAAACAATTTGCTTGGGGCTGCTGCCAGTTAAAGACAGACCTGAAATTCTGGTCTAGCTGGCTCTAAAACACGTGCACCTGAGCCAGGAAATAAACTCTCATGTAATGATTTAGCATACCAAAAATGTAGCATTAAAAAATCAGTAGAGAAAACAAGAAATATTCAATTAATGATACTGGGACAACTAGCTAACTTTGGGGAAAGTGTTAGAGAAGAGGTAGTTTAACCATCTGTATAAACTCCAGATGGATTTAAACAATTAAGGATAAACAAAAACATTTTTTAAAAAAACAAGAAAAAAATTGAGTATCTGTCACATCTCAAGATGGGAAAAAGATCTTCTAAACATAAAGCAATTAGAGAAATCAAAGGAAGAAAAAACCAGACAACCTAAAAATATAAAAATTCTGAAAATCAAAAAAGCAAATGAAATTAAAAACCAAAATAACAACTAAAAAAAATTTATAAAAATTGGATAAAAAGCTGATGTTTTCACATATAAAGAGATCATAAATTCAATATGAAAAGAAAACAACCAAAGCAAAGGAGATGAAACAAATACAATAAGTATTATTTTTTATGTATTTTATAAATTAAAATTAATATGTCTCACCTCACTAAAAATTTTTAAAAATTAAAATTACAATAATGAGAAACCATTTTTTATCCATGAAATTGGAAAAGATTTTAAAGATACTAATATTCAGGCTGGACACGATGGCTCATGCCTATAATCCTAGCACTCTGGGAAGCCAAGGCAGGAGGATTGCTTGAGCTCAGGAGTTCAAGACCAGCCTGAGCAAGAGCCCGTCTCTACTATAAATAGAAATCAGCCAAACAACTAAAAATAGAAAAAATTAGCTGGGCACTATGGCATGTGCCTGTAATCCCAGCTACCCGGGAGGCTACGGTAGGAGGATGGCCTGAGCCTAGGAGTTGGAGGTTGCCGTGAGCCAGGCTGACACCACGGCACTCTAGCCCAGCCAAGAGAGTGAGACTCTGTCTCATTAAAAAAAAAAGATACTAATATTCAAAGTTCCTGAATTTGTGGCTAAAAACAAGAAGCTCCTTCATGCTCTATCAGAGAATATAAACAAGTAATTCTAGAAAACAGTTTGGTAATAATGTTCGTTAGCCTAATAATTTTCATTCTAATTATCATCTAAGGAAGTTTCAGAAACCCAAATAATAATTAAAATTTGAAAATCCTCTAAATACTCAACAAAAGAGACTGGTTAAGTAAAATGTTCCACAAAAAGGCAGGTTCAGCACCTAGGGAACAACTCAACTGTTGTTTATTCCAAATCTGAGAAAAACCCATGTAATCACTCATTGGAGGAATAAATAAATAGTTCTACCCTTAAAAACAACAAAATAACCTTTGAAAACCTCTAGGTTAATATATTGTTATATACATGGCTCACATTACAGCCACTGAAAATGTTTTCAAAGAACATCAACTGGCATAGAAAACATTCACAGTATTAAATGGTTCATAAAATGTAAACTGTATATGCTATAACATATACATGCATACAGTGAAAATAGTGAATTTTTTCTTTTTTGCACACTTTGGTATTTTCCATATTGTGTACAGTGAGCACATATTACTTTTAGGATCAGGAAATAAATAAGAAAGTGATTGATATTGCTGCTGCTGTTCTTAACACATAGGGCACAGTGTTCGCAACAGCCTAAGAGAAGGCCAAAATAACATCACCTACAAAAAGCATATTCTGTACTTTCTCAGCCAACAGGAGACATGGAATTTACTCTTGCCTTACACATAAAACTGATAATCTCTTAAATTTTAATTTTTTCTTTTCTTCCGTTGGATTATACCACCAAGAATAGGATAGCACTTGAAAAGAGAATTTACATCAGTATAATGCAGTAAAGCTTTTTACAGTACCCGTAGTAATCATGTGTCACACAGTAATGTTTTCCAAATGCAAAATGCCAAAAATAAAAACCAAAGCATAGTTAATGGTGATAATACTACACAAGCAAATTATTCTATCCCCTCCTTTTTTTTTTTTTTTTTTTTTTGATAGGACCTTGTTCTGTTGCCTGGGCTAGAGTGGCTAATTTTATTATTTTTTTATAGAAATGGGGTCCCACTATGTTGCTTGACTGTTTTCAAACTCCTGGCCTCAAGTGATCCTCCTGACTCAGCCTCCCAAAATGCTGGGATTACAGGCCCAAACCACTACACCCAGCCCTCACTTCTTTATGCTAACTCAGAAATTACAGATTCACTGACCTACACTACAAAGATAATAATGGAAATAAGTGATCTCTGATACAATTTTTCTAGGTCAAATGGAAAGTTAGCTTAAGTATTGTTAAAGGAGGATATTTTATCATTAACTCATAAGAAAGTTCTTTAGTAAGAAAAAAATATTGTCAGAAATCTTTTACCTTAAAAAATGAGATGAAGAAATTCAAACACATAGTAAATTCTTGTCACTGACTATTCTTCTAGATACTGTTTCACAAAAAGACTGTCTTCACTAATTATAAAATTTCTCTTCATTGCCATGGGGACAAAAGATTTGGGTCCATATGAAAATTTATCTGGAAATAAGGTTTCCCAATTTTGTCATCTGCCTTTGCTGTTCAAAAAGAATGTATCTAACCAACCATATAACACAATAAAATAACCATTAACACTAAATAAAATAACTAATAACACCTATAGTAACTAGTAACACAAATTAACAACACTCTTAAAATGAGGGCAGGGTATGGGCAGTACAGAAATCAGAATCTCTAAGCTCCATAACCAATTCTAACAGATAATTATAAAATGTTAAGCACCCCCCCCAAAAAAAGAATTATGCTAGCACCTTTTATGTGAGAAAAAAGTTCAGTGTACACACACTAAATTGATATGTTAAAAACAGGAAGATTCTTCAGAAAGGAGAAAGAAGAAACACATTTCACAGCCTAAACCACCATATAATAGCTACCACCTAGTAAGTGCCTATTAAGAGAGTTATTTCACATACAACATTCCTATTCCTAAAAACAAGTCTGCAAAGTGGGTTTATTTATCACCCCAATTAAGATAAACGAAAACTGTAGTTAGAGAAAAAGAGTGACTTGTCCAAAGTCTGCTAGGAAATGGCAAAGCCAAGTTTAGAATGCAGGTCTGTTTGCTGTCAAAGCAATATATTAATACCATGTTACCTATAAGGTCAGTCATGATTTTTTTAAATCACATTAAAGTTTATACTTGACAGAGAGTGTTTTCCCATTTATATGATATATTTTGAAATGACTAAAGAAATAACAAATAATAAAATAGAAACTATAGCTGATCTTTTTTAGGTCTTAAATGGGGGTTAAATTTTTATGACATTTTCAGATAAACCAAAATTCCCTTGCTAAATATTTAGATGAATATGTGTTTATCAAAATCACAAGAAGCATACAAACCATTTACTGATTAAAGAAAAAAGTCTGTCACAACTGGCTAAAAATAGAAGTGACAAGTAGAATCTGGTTTTCTGACTTTATTAAGGACCCAAATGGTTCACTGGAGAAAATCACAAATTACAAAAGAAACTAAGACAAGAAAAATCTAAAAATATAGTGCAATAAAAAATTAAAATATTAATTGTGATTATATAAAGCAAAATATACTAACCATGAATCAGGGAGCCATTTAGCCACTGAATATAGTAGTTCTGAGGAAAAGAAAGCAGGATTTCATTGCTGATTATTGAGAAAGGTAAAAGCAAAACAGCCCCAGCTGAAACTGCTAAAGTGAACGTGCTCAAAAACAACCTGGAAGAGAGAAGAGTCATCATCACTAGTGATTTGAAAATGCAATGAATCTGGAAGTAATCAAAAAGAATACAAACTCTTCAATATTTTAATCAAAAAAGTATTATATAAGAATTTCATTAAATATATGTAGTTGAGAAACAAATGATATAAGTATGATCCTAGAAGTTAAACTAAATAAACTCTAAAACTCCTTAATAGGTTATTAAGTCTAATGGACCAAAAAGATATATATGTATACACACACACATATATATATGAGTACCTCACACATTTTACAAAGAATAAATTATACCTCATTCCCCTTTTAAATATAAGTATTTATATCACAATTGCATTTAACTAACAACTTTGACAATATATGCCAACAGCAATGCAACAACTATTTCAGGTGAAAAAAAATACTTGTGGAAGCAGTATTTAAAAACAAATTAATTTAAAACGGTTATTTCAGAAGAACAAAAACTTACAAAGCCATTGGCCTGGTATCTCTTGAATGGTAAAAGGTTAAATAAATTATAGCAATAAATAGTACAAAACTATTAAACAATATTATTCTACTAAACAATATTTAAAACACTATTCTTTCATTTTTTAAAAATAAGAGATGTATGATATGTATTGATATGTAAAAATATCTAAAATAAATTGAGTCAACAAAAACAAACTGAAGAGAAACATGGACAATAAATCTAAAACATTTTCTCTGCTCATTCCCCCCAAAATGCACATATACAATCAGGAAAATAGAGGTGTAAAAAAATCCAGCATACTATGTAACAGTCCCACAGGAGAGAGGGATTATAGGGCACTTTCACATTCTCAGCTAACACATTTCTGAAATGTTAAAATGTCTCAGTTTTACAACAAATAGCTAATTTTGAAAAGATGTTTAAAAGAATAAAATGGCAAAGAAAAGGGAACTTCACAAATATCAGTGATAGAACCTTAATTTAATATCCATTCCATTAAAGTTAATATTGAAATATAAAAATAATTCTAAGAAAATATTAAATATTTTTTAAAACAGGAAAAAAAATCACACTAAATGCCAAAAAAAAAAAAAAAATCTAATAGAGTAACTGTGAGACCAATGCCATCTTGTGGCAACCAACAGAAGTGTATTCCTACTTAAAAGCCAAAAATAACAAGGAAACCTCCTCTGTTCAGTAAATCCGTGATAAACTTTTAAATGTAGACCATATGATACATACCAAAAACATAATTCAAATAAGACATAGAAGAACTTTTATGAATTGGCTTTGCTGAATAGACATTTCCTGGGGAAAGCACTCTACTCATCACGGGGTCCACAGCCAGCTCTGGCAGTGACCAGCTGGCAAGTGATCTAGAGCATGCTCCTCTAGAGCAAGTGAGAAAGTTACCTCATCACTGTCATTCCAAAATCTCACCATTTCAGGTCCTGCACAGATATGCCAATGTCATTTTCCAGGCTCCTCTCTCACAGTGACCCATTCCAACAAACACTTAGGGTCACCGAACTTACTCATTTCCCAAACATCCAATGAATTTTTAGGGCTTCTTGCCCCTCCTCACAATCTGCTCTCTTCCTAGGGTATCCTTTATGTACTATGCATGACAAATTCATATGTAAATTTCAAGACAGACCTCAAATATCATTTGCCCTGTGAGGCATTCCTTGACTTCCCTCTCCTTGCTCCTCTGGGTAAAATTTGTTCCTCTCTCCTCTAGGCTCCCATATACTTTGAGTACATAGCTTGTAATGAGGGTTAGCCATAGTTCCCAAATAAAAAACTGGAAGCCATGACCTGACAAAAGGAGTAAGTTTATGGGGGCAAACAGATAAAGTATTTAAAGGCACAAGTGACCCAGAAAATCCTGAATATATGGTCACTGTAACTATAATGCTTTCTCTTTTCAACAAAAATCTATCAGAACCTATTACACATAGGGTATTGTAATTGGTTCTAGAGATACAAAAAACATAACATCATCCCTGACTGTCCTTGAGACCGCTAAAGAGGGCCACTCATAAAAGGCTGTGATGGAGCCAGAGATCCCTGAAAGTAAGGCCCTGAACTGAAAAATCATCATAGTGATAACTGCTCATGTAACCACAGAAAAGTGTCCATACAGAATGGAGGGATAGTTTCAAAAATGTTACCTTCTGAAATGGAGTAATATTTTTAAAAATTACATCTTCAGAGTAATGTATCTTTTTAAATTGTGGTAGGAGTAAGACAAGAGTGTTTTCCTGAGTATCTCTGACATTTGTGGCTTTTTCCTTAACCCAACCAGGAAGGCAGAACCTCTCCTTGTCTAAATAAGGTGATGAGGGCATTACACTTGGACACTGAATATAACTGGTGTAAAGAAAGCTGTATCTATAGAACATACTGTAAAGTGTCTTTGCGAGGTGATGATGAATTAAAACAGTAAGACTACCTTAAATCTCTTTAACACTCCACAAAGTTTTCACATACTTTCAGTCAGCAAACAAGAGCCAGGATCCTTGACTCTTGAGTCTCTAATGCCCTGTTCTTAACCACCATCATCAGGCTCTTCCCAAGTTTTAACCATGTCCCTGCTGCCCCTCATTCAAGCAAATGACCGAGTCTCCTATTTCAGAGTGGAAAAAGAGGGGCAGACTACCTCCACACTTACCACCTCTTAGAGCTATCAACAGACACAATATTCTCCTGTCTCTCAAGGGATGACATCTTCTCTTCCTTCTGCCCATGAGCACTGATCCCTAACTCTGCTCTCTCCAAGGGCCTGCTTCACTGGTCACCCCACTCTTAACCTTTAGCCTTACCTTCCCTCCACCTGCTGGCCCACCAAGGATAAACATCCTCAGGTGTTTCTGCTCTTACAGAAGGCTTAAGAGGATTTTACATGCCATGTCTTTACTTCTACATCTTCAATTTCTTCCTTAATGAACTGCAACAGGATTTCTATTCCTCACCATAGTACTGAGAAAGTTTTCCTTGTGGTCAAATCCATCAGATACTTTCTAGTTGCAATCTGGCCTTCTATGATATTTCAAATTGATAAGCATCATTTCCTCCTTAAAATTCTTTCTGCAACATTCACCCTTTCTACTTTTTCATTCCCAGGCTCTACTCATCTGTAAAATGTTGGTGTGCCAGTATTCCATCTTAAGTCTTCACCTCAGCTAATCAATAACAGGTGATCCGTGAATCGGGCTGCCTAATACCTCACTCTGAATCGGTGGTTCTTCACCAGCAGTATCATCAGGAGCACCCACGGAGCTCTTGTTAAAGCACACATCGGAGACTAACTCACTGAGTCTTTCTGGTGGGGTTCATTCACTAGACAAATATTTAGAGTGCTCATGGCCAGGACTGTTCCAGGCACTTTAGAATGGTGAACAAAACACCAAACATTCTTGCCCTATAAGGGCTTATTATATTGAAGTGAGGAGAGTCAGACAATAAACCATAAATTAAGTATGTAAATGTAGAATATATTAAAGAGGGTAAGTGCTACAGAAAAATGAAGCAAGGTAAGGAGGATTGGAAGTGAGGAGGAGGAAACACAGGTTTCAGTATTAACTATGGCATTCAGGATAAGCCTCATTGAAAAGTTGAGATTTAGGGAAAAAACAAAGCAAAACCAAACTCACAGAGATGAGAGAATTAACACGGTGGGATATCTGACAAAAAGGAATTTGGGGCAGACAAAACAGGTCAAAAGCATTAAGGTGCAGGTAACATTGACTGCACACCGGCCGGGCGCGGTGGCTCACACCTGTAATCCTAGCACTCTGGGAGGCCAAGGCGGGAGGATCGCTAAGGTCAGGAGTTCAAAACCAGCCTGATGCAAGAGCGAGACCCATTTCTACTAAAAAAAAAAAAAAAATAGAAAGAAATTAATTGGCCAACTAAAAATATATAGAAAAAATTAGCCAGGCATGGCGGTGCATGCCTGTAGTCCCAGCTACTCAGGAGGCTGAGGCAGGAGGATTGCTTGAGCCCAGGAGTGTGAGGTTGCTGTGAGCTAGGTTGACGCCATGGCACTCTAGCCTGGGCAACAGAGTGAGACTCTGTTTCCAAAAAAACCCAAAGACTTCACACCTATTGTGCATCAAGCACCCTACTCTAGATCTTTTTTTTTTTTTTTTGGTGTATGTTATTTAATCCACACAACAGGACTACAAAGTAAGTGGGTGCTCTATTTTACATATGGAGAAAATGAATGTTTCTCAATCTCTTCTGGACACAAATTAATCTTGAGTTCAGAATTTGAACCCGGATCAGCCTAACTGGTCAGTGCTCACTCACTCCATCACAGTGAAGGACAAAGACACCAATAGGGGCCGGCGAGGGGCAGAGCAGGTCAGACTCCTCCTCTCAGATTACCCTCTCCCCTAAACCCCCCCCAAATTTATTATAACTTTACATAAACCCACTGACCCTTGGGAAGAGGATGTCTGTACACACCACCATGATACAGAAACCACCTCCATACTGGGAAAACTCAACCCCTCAGACAGGCCGTGCCAGCTGCTCCTGAGACAGGTAAAGGAAGGGAAGCCTGCTCCTGAGAGTTGTCACAAGGAAATAGTGTATGACCACGTTTTCATTCAGAACACTTCTAGGAGTAAAAGACAAAGTGATGTGTTCTTTTCTGTTTATAAATGATTGACTTCTAAGAACATTTAAGTAGATTTGCCACCCCAAGTGGTACTCAGACTAAATAGAGAGGAGAGAGGCACACATCTCCCTTGTCCTTCACACCCAGAGGATTTCACATGGAAAGAGTATCTACTCTTTATTCAATCTGTGATTCATTGTAGTTAGTCTTTTTGAGCTGAGTGAACTTTTACCGAAGCAGTAATTTAAACAGAAAAAAATGACAATTCACTGAAGAATTTTCACAAATGTTACAGTGTTAGGAATAAAACTAAGACCCCCTAATCCTATAAATTTAAAACATCAAGCTTTGGGCCTAAGTTTTAAACCCAGAGAGTAAGAATTGTCAGTATGAAGTTATAGTTGTTTTTATTTATTCAACTTCTCCCAAGGCATTTAAAATAAACTGCCAAATATAATAAAAAGCAGGGTTTATTTCTATTCATTTTTCAGTTATGAATCAAATCAGGCCTATTCAAGTCATTTATTAGCTAAAAGTATTTTTTTATTGAGGCAAAATGTACTTTACATAAAATTTATCATTTTAAGGTGAATAATTCGGTGTCATTTAGTTCATTCACTATGTTGTGCAACCACCACCTATTTCAAGTTCAAAACATTTTCATCACTTCAAAATACGACACCATACTCATAGCAGCTGTTCTCCATTCCCCGCTCCCTTAGCCTCTTGCACCCAATCTGCTTTTGATGGATTTATCTATTCTGGATATTTCTTACAGATAGAATCATACACTATGTGACCTTTTGCGTCTGGCTTCTTTCACTTAGCATGTTTTTTAGCTTCATCCACATTGCAACATGTATCAGTACTTTGTGTCTGAATACTTTATGACTGAATACTATTCCATTGTATGTGAATGCATTTAATAATATTAATATTTGCATGTGCATTTAAGTGTATATGAGCACATGTAATCTCTTTCTCTCCCTCCTCCCTTTTTCTCACCACCTCTCCCTCCTTCCTTTTTCTCACCTCCTCTCCTCACTCCCTTCAGCAAAAGATGCATAATTTGATATTAATTACAAGAAACATCAGACAAAACCAAATAACTAGACTGTAACCTTCAAAAGTGTCAAGGTCAGGAAGGCCAAGGGAATACTGAAGAAATGTTTCAGTGTGAAGGAGGCTAAAGGAACATGATGACCAAATGCAGTGTGTGATTCTGAATTGGATCCCTTTACTGTAAAAGGCATTCCTGGGACAATGGGTATGTTTGAATGGGGTGCGAGTGGTACTGTACCAATGTTATTATTTTGATGGTTGTATGTATGGTAGATACATAGAAGAATGCACTGTTTATAGGAATTATACATGAAAGTATCCTGAGGAAGTAGACCATCAAGTTAGCAACTTCTCAAACAGTTCAGGGGTGGCGGGAGTAGGGGTCTTTGTATCCTACTTCTAACTTTTCTGTAAATTTAAGATTACTTCGAAAGAACTCTGAATTATCAATTTAAAAATCCTGGAATACAGAATTCTTCTATGTGGGTACATCTGTGTAATTTTGCATTTTAATCAAGCAAAAATAGAAAGAAATTCACTGCTTTCCATCCAGTTTGATACTTCAAAAAAATTAAGGACATCTCTATCATATCTCACCAGGGTACATAAGGAACCTGAAGGACAATCTGGGCCCATCTCTTTGCTCACAGCAGGTAGAGTTTCAATTTACCAAAGGAGGTGTCTGCAGCCTGGTTCAAGATCAAACAGCCAAGAGGTTATTTTTCTTATGGCCCTGAATTTTCCCAAATTTAGGCCCATTTCCTTATTAAATCCTCTTAAGATAAAATCTGTCAGCTCTTAAATAAGCAGATTTTAACAGGAGATAATCCTCAATTATCCCTATATATTTGCTTATATGTGCTTCCCAAGAATAGAATATTCATAAATGCATTGAAATGCATTAAGTGAATGAATTTTTTCCATATTATTAAAATTTTTTCCATATTATTAAAATTTCCATATATTAAAATTGTCCATATTTTTCTGTCAAAAAATTAGAATTGAGTTTTGAGAATTCATGACTTCAGAATTAGAAACAGAACAAATAAACTCTAAAATACATACGAAATCCTGTTGACTATGGCATCTTCATCTTCTTGTTCATCTGCAAAAATGTTTATGGTATTAATATGCTTTCATCTTCCAATAAAATGTTTCATTAATTTATTAAAAATATAAACTTTAAAAAGCAATTATTGAGTAGAAATGATTTTCAAAAAGCATTGTATTTATTTCAGCACAGATCAAAATTTAAATCTCATTAACTCAGGTAGGTGGTATATGATTAGAGAATGGAATGTTTTGATTAATTAAAATTCTTCATTAACAAAACTACCATATGTAAATTGAAATTTCCCACATATGAGTGCTCAACAAAATAAAATTTAATAGAACCTTAGGACCACTAGAAGTGTATTATTATACAGTGTGAAGTAAAACAGCTAATGAATAAAATTTTCTAGTTAATAATAGCCAACAAAAGTTTTTACTATAAAATTAAAATCTAGAATCTTTGAACTCATCTTATGTTCTATGATGTGAGTTGATTATTAGCAATGGTAATGATGAGGATTCTCTTGGACCATCGAAATAACCTTGGATACTACTGCCTCAATAATTCATAATTACTGTTCGAGTTACAGACACTAACATATCAAGTTTTCTGTACCTTTTTAAAGTAGCAGCCAGCTTTCACTCCAATACTCACTCTCCTTCCCCCTTCCCTCTCTCCTGTCTATCAGCCATCTCTTGTCCTCTCATTAAACCTCCCAGCTAAAGAGACTATACTCCATTACAAGAACATGGCAGAGGATTCCTGGCCCCTCCTCATATATGTAATGTCCTCAAAGTCTCTCTCCTTAGGTCTCTGGAATTCTGTGCACCCATCTGGTTCAATGTCAATGGTATATGTGGGCCATTCTATTAGTCCAGTCTCCACGCTTAATTATGGGATGCCCAAAATAGCTTTACAATCAAAGGGACCACAAAATAACACAGTCACAATTTTTATACTGTTGTGCCCACATCCAACCAATCATCAAGTCTTATAGAATGTTTTAATATTTCATATTCATTTCAATTCTATTTCCAGCACACTACTATGTACAGGGTCCTCAACACTCTCCTATCACTCCTGGATTACTCTAAAAGTCATCTAATAAATCGCCAATTTTCCCACTCATCATCCCTTAATTTCCCTTAAAACAATGCATCTATATTCATTAATTCTCTTTCCCCCTCCTTCTGTGTACATATGCCATGAAAACAGGCCAAAATATCTTCTAAAATAGCTAAGATATTATCTTGGATCTGCAGGGCTTCAAAACTTTTGAGAGATTACAGAATTCCAGTAGTATTTCAGTACAGTCACAAAGCCAAGTAACAGTACTAAACAGTACTAAACAGTACACTAGAGCAACCCCTATATCCTTATTTCTCTCAAAAGTCTAACAAGTTTAAATTAATAACACAATATCAAGAAATCCTTCAGTATTCATATAGCACCTACTACTAGCCCAGTGTCACAGGTGGATAAATAATCCTGTGTTATATAAAAAACAGCTGAGATTTAACAAAAGGTAAAGCAATTGCTTAGGTACTTATAAAACCCTGACCTAAAAATCTGAATTAATGAGTACGAAGTTCATTAAAAAAAGAACAAAAGATACAATAGTCCTTCTGGCTAGATAAAGATATATATGAGATAATACAGATACTATGTAATTGAATACTAAAGAATATCATGGACACTCTAAATTCTATGCTACTGTAGAGAAAGAAAAGATATTCTAGTTGTCAGAAAAGGGATGGGGTACAGATTAATAGAATGGTTAAAGTCAGAGCTGCTCCCAAGAAACCAACTATTCATAAACTCTGGAATTTCCCAGATACTAAATAGCCCAGCACTATCCTTAGTTGGACATAAGAATTGTGATAAACAAGGACTCTGGTCTAAGAGGATGATCCTAAGAGCAGTCAGATTCCCTGGAGGTTATTTTTAGTGCCCTCAGTACCAGGTGACTGCTTACTTCAATCACTGGCATACTCAGTACACTACCACCAGGCAGTTTACTGATGCACCCCACAGACCATGCCTAGACCGCTTGGCATCATAATAAAAGTGTTAATGAAAAATGTTTCTACTTGCCTGATTTTCTCTTGTATCTGAGGATGATGAAGTAGGAAACAATGTAGAGAACAGCAAAAAGAAGGAAACATATCTGAAATAAAACAAATTTAACAGATGATTTATATTTTTCGCATATCTTTTTTAAATAATAGAAGACATCTTTTATATTTATAGGAAAAAGGATTTAAACTATTAAAAAGTTAAAATTTTGAACATTTTGCTAATATAAAGATTTACTAAAAATATCAATTTATGTGAACTAATCTTTATCCCAGTTAAAAACATTCCAGAAAAAAAAACCCAATGGAGAGTTTTCTTTCCAGAACTTGACCAAATGTCTTCCAAAATCATGTGAAAGTGTAAAGAATCAAACCATCACTGATACTTCTGAAAAATAAAGTCAATGAGAGAGTACTATCCTTGCCAAATATTAAAATGTATCGAAATCAGACACTTCAATACATTTAAAGGGTGTGCTGGCACCAAAAGTTGACAGACGAATGAAACATATTCCATTATATAAAAATTAACATTTGAGAAGCATCAAAAATCAATATAGGTGAGAAATAATTATTCAATAAACAGACCACATATCAAAATAAATAGAAGTCGAATGAGAAACTTCTTTAAAATATTAAAATTAAATTCAATTTTAAATTTCTTTTTTAATTGACAAATAAAAATTATATATATTTGTTGTGTAAAACATGATGTTTTGAAATATACATATATTATGGAATGGCTTGATCAAGCAAATTAACATATTCATTACCTCACATATTTATAAATTTTTGTGATGAGAACACTTAAAATCTACTCTCAGTGATTTTCAAAATACAATACATTGTTATTTACGATAGGCACCATGTTGTACAACAGATCTCAAAATTATCATTCCTATCTTTGTATCCTTTGACCAACATCTCCTGTGCCCCTCGCCCCTGGCAACCACCTCTACTTCTACTTCTATGGTTCAACATTTTTAGATTCTACATGAAAGTGAGGTTATGTAGTATTTGTCTTTCCTTGCCTGGCTTACTTCATTTAACATAAAGTCCTCCAGGTTCATTTATGTTGTCACAAATGACATGATTTCTTTCTTTTTAAAGGCTAAATAGTACTCCATTATGTATATACCACATTTTCTTTATTCATCTGCCAACACTTAGGTTGATTCAACATCTTGGCTACTGTGAATAATGCTGATATGAACATGGGAGTGCAGGTTATCTCTTCAAAACACTAATTTCACTTCATTTGGATATATACATAGCAGCAGGATTGCTAGATCATATGATAGATCTATTTTTAATTTTTTGAGGAATCTCCATACTGTTTTCCATAATGGCTGCACTAATTTACCTTCTCACCAATAGTATGCAAGGGTTCCCTTTTCCCCACATCCTTACCAACACTTGGTATCCTCTGTTTTTTTTTAATAGCCATTCTAACAGGTGTGAGATGATAGCTCATTGTGGTTTTGATTTGCATTTCCCTGATTAGGTAATGCTGAGCATTTTTTCATATACCTATTGGCCATTTATATTTCTTGAGAAATGTCTGTTCAGATTCTTTTCCCATTTGTTAATTGTTATTTGTTTAAATTCGATTTAATTTCTGTCAGATCTGGGGAATGACAGACTGGCAAAAAAGGCTGAGTCAAGGAACAGATCTCATTACAGTCAAAGTCCAAGCTTGCTAGAAATAAAGGTTTACTATAGCTTTTTATGGAATATGGATTTAAAAAAAAACCTGAAGACTCTTAAATGAAACCACTCCAGGTGATGATCTGGGAACATCTAAGGAACACTCCATTCTGGGGAACACTCCTTTCATGGGATTTCTGAAGAAACGGTGGTTGTATGATTGAGTATGACTTTGGATTGAGGCAGTGTCAGAGATGGACATTTGTAAAATGACATGGTCTAGAAATGACACACTGAAAATAGAGGACTATGAGCCACGTGTCAAAGTCTTCCCAATACACATGGGAGATAGAAGACAGTACTGACAGTGACCAAAAGGAGCAAAGATCACCAAGAGCATCAAAGATCACCTGCTGCTAGAGGTCTAAGGACCTGTTAGAAAATATTAACAGGATTACCACCTCCTCCCAAAATCCTTAGGAGCACAGGAGATAGGTCAAAAAGGAAAACCAGTTCTTGATTAAGAAACGTAAATGGAGGGGTTCTTCTAAGAAGTTGAGAATAAGGGGGAAATTATTGACAGTGGAATGAAAGTCTGAGTAGGGTGAGAAGAGCAGTGGAAAGAGTGGGCAGAATCACAGGGAATTATGAGGTTAAAGTCAGAGGGATTAGATGGCCAAGAGAATAAATATTTGTGACAGAGGTTGACTGAAATTCATGCATTCAACAATTGTTTATTGTGGGCTTACTATAAACCAGACACTCTTCTAAGAACTGAGGACACAGCAGTGAACAAGGTTGTTGCCCGCATGGAGCTTATATTCCACTGGGAGAAACAGACAATAAATAAATAATGTCAGAGATGATCAGTGCAAGTTTAGGGGACTAGGGAGTGCAAGCAGGGGTGGGGCATGCCTTAATAACAGAGTTGTGGGAGAAGGGAAGGCAAGAAATGCAGGTATTTCAGGGGCAGGAAGAACAGCAGTGCCAAGGATCTGAGGCAGGAACACCTCTGGTGTGCTCACATAAGGAGGAGGAAGAAGTAAGAGATAAGGTCAGAGAGTACCAGTAGCACAGGTCACACATGACTCTGCACCAAATGTTGGTTTTAACCCTGCATGAGATGGGAACCTACTGTATCATTCTGAGTGGAGGGTGATAGGTTCTGACACAGCACAAAAGGCTTGCTCAAGGTGCTATTAGAAAATAAACCTGAAGGTGCCGGGGCAGAGCAGTGATACTCAGACTGCACAGTGAGGGTACCAAGAAGTGATAGAGTTCTGGGTATGTTTTGAAAGCAGACCTGACAGGACTAGCAAGAATAAATACTAGGTGCTTGGCCTGGGAAACGGGAAAGACTGAATTGCCATTGCCTGACCCAGGAAAGATTACACGAGGAGTAGTTTTAAGGGAAAAATAAGTACGGTTTACGCCATTGGATCTGAAATACATATTCACTCAGGTCGAGAGATTGACTGAACAGGCAGTTGGATAAAAATCTGTAGAGTTCAAAAGAAAGGGCCAGGCTAGCGACTTTTTTTGTTTAATTAGAAGCATCAGCAGATGGTATTTAAAGTCCAAAAACTGATGAGACTTCCTTCCACCTTACAAGTGAGAATAGCCAGAGAAGAGAAGTCTGAGGAGAGAGCCCTGAAGCTCTCAAATACTGAGAAGTCAGCCTGACAGAAGGAACTTGCCCAAGCTAACAGAGCAGCAGCAGTCAGCTAGGGAGCAGGCACACCCAGGGACTGGACATGCGGAAAGCCAAGTGAAGAAAGTTTATTTAAGAAAAGGGAATTACCAACAGTGTCAAATGCTGCTGACAGGCCACGAAAGATGAGGACTGAGGACAACTGGATTTGGCACCATAGAGGTCACTGGTGACCTTGATGAGAGTTGTTTTTCTGGAGTAGTGGAGGCAAAACCCTGACTGAAGTAGATTAAGAGAGGAGAAGAATTGGAAACAGAAATGCAAGGACAGTTCTTTCCAGGAGTTTTATTATAAAAGGGACCAAAGGAAATGTGAAAGGGAATGTGAAGTCAAGGTTGTTTTCTTTTAAGATGAAAAAAGTTGCAGATGGCTGTATGAATAATCCATTAGAGAGAAAAATTACTGATGCAAGAGAAAAACAGGAGAATTGCTTAAGTAATGTGCTCAAGTTGAGGAAGTAATACAAAATTTATTCATGGTAAAAAGGAGAAGGAGAAAGAGGAGGAAACAGAATATCTGAGCTTAGTTTAGGTAAATAGATGTGTGGTGGAAGCATAAAGACATTATTACACTTTTTGATGGCTTCTATTTGCTCAGTGCAACAGAAGCAAGTTTATCAAATCAGAGTTATACATGGAGAGTGGGGAGAGACAAGGTATATAAATCATGTACAATAATAAATGAAGTAGAAAAAAATAACAGAAATGAGAGGCAGGGTGAGACTAAATGGCCTTTAAAGTTCAATGCAAACCCAATCTAAAACTCTCAGCAATGCAAGCAGCCTGATGCTATAAAACCTGATAGCCTGATTCTTAGATGCTGAGACAGAGGCAGGCAGAGTCCCCAAGAAATATCAGAGGCTTGAAAATTCTAACAGATATACTAGTCTCTTTCTTCCTCTTGACAGCCAAGCTTTTCAAAATAATAGCCTGTACTCGCAGATTCCCACCTTTTCATCATTCACTCTTCCAACCACTCATCTAACTTCATGCCCATCAACCAACCCAAAGTGCCCTGGCAGTGCTCATTAATGACCTAACAGCCAAATTACACTTTATGATTTTACTTGACCTCTAAGCAGCAACTTCTGTCAGCAATCTTTCTCCTTCTCTGATTGTTTTCCCAGGCTCCCACACTAGCTTCCCTTTTCCCACCTACCTTTAAACATTATTCTCTATGATTGCGGGGTTGGCACCCCTCTGTTCTCATCCCACAGCTCTTCAAAAGTACTATCTGTTCCCAGGGTTTTAACCGCTAACCCCCAGGAAGCCCTTAACCACAGCATGAGAAACACTGGTTAGGGCATTAGCAAGAGTGAGTGGACGACTGGCCATGAAACCCAAGCAGGTTGAGGAAAAGTAAAACCAACTGGAGGCTGACACACAGGAGCAAAGACATCAATCAACTAAGGTTCACTGTAGAGAAGCAGCTGCAAAAAAAGTACTCAACTGAGGAAGTCAGGAGAATAGAAGGTTGTGATCAAAGGACAGTCTATAATTTTTAAATTAGTGTGTAAAGGCAAAGGAGAGTAGTTTCAGAAGTTAGCGTAGAGGATGAGAAAGCATGAAAGATAATAGACAAAAGGAAATCAAGGAACCAAAAGCATGGAATGAAGACTAATGGAAAACAATTCATTCAAGAGTAGAAGGCTAATATTTATCAAAACAAATGTATTATTAATTTTGAAATGAAAGATACCCACTATGAAAATAAAAATGCAACTGTAACAGACTA